GGATGAGGCTAGAAGATGCTTTTAAATCACCAGGGCTGAAAAGGCTCTAATCAAGAAGCCATGAATATAATACAGAATGAATCCTACCAAAAGCTTTTCCAAAATTTACCACATGATGTCGCCAATCCTACACCAAATATTCAAGCAACTAGTCTGCTCTGAGAGTTACTTTGAATGCCTCAGTGGAAGCCTTTTTAATTATACAATAATATTCAAATACCTAAAATGCTGAGGCCAACTGTGAAGATTTTTTCCACTTACCAGCAATATACTTTATAGTTCCCTAGGATAAGCCACCAAGCATCAGTTCTAGCTGAGTTTACAGCTTCTCCTTCAAATATTTTTCTTTCTGCTTTAATAGTCTTACAGGACATATAGCAGGGAACATCTCGGCAGTTATTTGTGTGAACAGGAATTCAGTTTAAAGGAAATCACAGAGCAATAAAGTGGTGCAGACATGTTAGGCGGTCCTTTCATCAGAAGGGCCAAATTGGAGATGACAATTTTCAGTGCTGTGCTTTCTATCCATTGCAGATATCATGAAGGGTCACCAATACTGATTAGGCTCATAGTAGTGACAAGTTAAAATTCATTTTTCCAGTGCCCTAGATTGGATTCCCCAATCATTTTATTTTTAAAGAATCAAGCAACACCTAACAATGATGCATATAAGTTAGCGTATTTATCATGCCACCAATATTAACTTGAGAAGCTAACTTTTCAGGCAGGTACAGATAACAGCTATAAATTGTATATCAATAAATTGGGACTTCTGAGTGTGCCAAAGATTCCCCATTCATTAAAAAAAAAATGCAATTGGGGAGCAGTCTCCATTCTAGTTTATTAATTCTAGGCATCCAAAGCAGATTATCGTTCTATGAACCAGGAGGGACATTTCTCTTAAAAGTGCAAAACAAGTGAAATGCGAGGTATCCACCATTTCCAGCTTCCAGAGAACACAAATCAAACAAATCAAATTGTAAACACAGGAGATAAAATTGTTCTTCTTGGTGGACATTTTAGCTAACCTTCTCAGTTGAAAATAGTTTTATTTGGGATTTTCTTGTGTATGAGCATCTATAAGCTACTATCAAGAAAACAGATCCAGCTGGCACAGGAAAATTCCACTTTTTCTGAAAATTGTATAGACTACAGTGTAAGTGCAGCTTGCTTGACTTTTAAGTTACATCACATTGTTTTCCATATCTACAGTGCATTCGGAAAGTATTCAGACCCCCTTCACTTTTTTCAATTTTGTTATGTTGCAGCCTTATTCTACAATCGTTCTAATTCATTTTTTTTCTCATTAATCTATACTCAGTACCCCATAATGACAAAGTGAAAACAGAATTTTAGAAATTCTGTATTGCCAAGGGGTTTGTGTGTATTGCTAGAATTTACACATACACTAAAGATTTGGGTTTTTTCAATTACATTTTGTATAGTGTTTTACTAATTGATCTGCATACTTATGCACAGCACAAAAAGTATTTTAGTGTACACAAAAGTTTGAAGCTAGAGACTGTCTGGCTTTTATTCTTAGTAAGCCTCTAACAGTAGGACAAAAATATTTTAAATAAGGAAAGACTACATACAGTTGTACCCTGAAAGTGTATAAGTCTGCTCCCGGATAACACAGTAAGCAGCAAATATAGAGGTAATTAAAACAATGGTAAATTTTACATGCTCCTGTATTTTACAAATCTAGAAATTTTTACCTGGTTTGACATACAAAATGCAATAAGAAAAAGAATAAGAAAATAAATACCTCACCAGTCTGGAAATTAAAAGTTCAAGAATAGAGATATGAATTTCAAACTCTTAATATATCACCAAAAGTACTTTTGAGACCACCTGATGGGACACACATCTGTTTTACTGACTGTGCGCACACATATACGCCAACACACACATATACACACAAATGGCTTATGTAGATGTTGTTTCCACTCTATGACTTTTGCCTTAGGCTAATCTATTAATAATAGTTATTTCTGCATCTTATAGAAAAAAACGTAAAACCTAAAACCTAATCCTCATCCCAGCATCCCTTCTTTTTAGTCAACAAGTTTAATCATCAGAGAAATAGTTGCTAGATTTCCACCTGTTTATTCTAAAAAAGAGAAGTTAAAAAATAAATGTCTTTGACACAATGAATAAATGTATTCTTTTCCAAATGCACAATTCTAGATACATATTTGTATATAGTATCAGTTTGACCAGTCTTTATATAAGTTTTATTCATTTGAATTTATAATTTATTTGAATTATAATATTGATGGACCTGACAGCTTAATCAATTTGCCTAGGCACCACTTCATTTGTCCAAAGTTATGTATGAAGGCATATTTAATTTAATAATTTAATAATTAATTTATTGAAAACCTATACAATATGCTTTCATATATTGTATAGGTTTCCAATACATTAAGAAAGTTAAAGATTCCATTAGTTCATTAGGTTATAATTCTCTATTCATTTATTGAAATAAAGTCACAATGAACTCAGACAATTACATATGGAATTGCATCATTAGGCCACCATTCCATGATATATCTACTTAAGTATCTGTTGTTCAGATTCTGCATGTGGCTTCAATCTATAGTGAATGTCAATGTACTTTTTAATCTACTTTTTTCAGTCTATAAAAGTATTAAACAAGGATATCTACTCTCTCTCCTTGGATTTTTAATCTCTCTTTAGATCATAGTATTTATGGCTTTTTTTGCATAATCCATTAGAATATAAATTGGCACTATATGATGATACTGTTTTAGTAGTATTTATTTCTGAATTTTATATTTGATTCCAGTGTTGGTACACTCTATTAATACATTAATAATATTAATACATTATTTTCCCAACTCAAACTTTCAATTATTTTATTTACAAAGAATCTGCTTATTACGTGTAATATAATATACAGTTAGAATTCACTATCCTTTACTTGAAGAAACTCCAAAATCATGATCAAATGGAATTTATCAAAAATTATAAAATAATGTAATGTAGTTAACCAAAATTAGACCTATACATTTTCCCCCTTTGCCAGGAGGTGTTATTTAATCACAGCCATATAAACTATTCTCAAATGATTCATCAGTAGCTGCATTTTTAAAAAGCAATTACTGATTTTAATGTATATCAAAGTATAAGCCAAACCTTTCATCATTATTTCATATTGCTATCCATAAAAGGATTTACCTTAAAATGTATGAAAGGATATATTATTTTCCCATTGGAGCAGCTTGACATCCTATCCTTATTAAGTATCACTTCAGCAACATATTGATGCTACTTATAATGGAGATAAAGAATTGATTCCCATTGTACTCATAAACACAGCTAGTTTCTCTAATACTCAGTGAGACCAGGAGAAACTATTCTTCATTTCTATATATATACATCAGCATTTCTGTTGAAGTTCCAGAATTCTGGCGCATATGAAAAAGGAAAAGATGTTCTTTCAGCCAGTGGAGACATCCTGTTTCATCTCTACAGTTTACTGGGTTCATCACAATACCAAAGCATTCTGCAATAAACTCAGTGTGCTTGGTTTATTGCAGAGCGCTTTGGCATTGTGATGAATCAGGCATGTGTCAGTTTATGCACATCAGATAGGCTTGTGGTCCTTATCGTGCTCCACTGGGATCCTAGGTTTGCTCAACCCAAATGAATTTATGTCATGGATTAGTTTTAGATGCGAGCCTTAAAGTCCTTATTTAGTATTCTACCCATTGTGTCCTCAGGGGAAATTAATCTATGACAAGGAAATTAAATTTCCATATCACCATCTTATAGTGAATTTTAAAAATAGGAAATATACAGTACTTATTCTGTAATGAAACCAGTAACTCCATAAAACAATCATCTATCTCCACAGCAACCTGTATCAAGTAGTTGACAATTCGGGACATATTGAGACCCGAATGATAGCTTTTGTAGAAACTATCAAAAAATTCTAGAATTTTGATCACATTTAAAATACAGTAGCAGTGGCGTCCACGGGGGGCGGCGATGATGAAAGCAGCTTTAGGGTGCTGATGCAATGCAATCTCTACCCATCTTGTACATCCATCATAACATCCGTCACACATACAAAAGGGGTGGAGCTTAGGTTACAAAAGCATGAAAGCAGTGCATCTTGCAGATGCATCTGCTAAGGATAAAATTATATTTCATTATATTTACATCAAATTATCAATGACATTGATAACATTTTCTTACGAGTCTTTAAGCTGTAACTTTAACTTGAAAAATCTTCCAGAATTTAATAGATAGGATTAAATGTTTCATTGGGCTTTCCAGTTAACCCAGGAAGGTGCCATTTTCCTACTGACAAAAAGTTACAAACCGCTGATTGGCTCCATTAAGCAAAGACAGGGATCAACAATAGTAGAGTAGCATTATTAATATAAAAACAAAAGTGCTGTGCTGGGTCAAGCTAAAAGTCTGTTTACTTTCACATTTTTAAAGTAGAAAGTTACAAAATAACTACGCCTGAGTTTACCCAAACTGGTAAAAAGGCTAGATGTTAGACAAAGAAGATAGAAAAATTAAATAGTTTATAAATGAAGCCTATACATGTGTATGTGTATGTATATCTGTGTGTGTGTAAATATCTAGATATGTGCACACACAAAGATTGATGTCAACGGCTCTCAGATTACACTAATGGCTTAAGAGACAGAGAAGCAGGGTTGCAATTATTCAACTCTAATGTAATCTAGTAAGTACTTCACGACAAACTAGAACTCACTAATATTACTTCCATAAGGTAAAGAGAAGAAGCTCTACTGAATAGTCAGTGGACATCATGTAAGGCAGGAATTATGTGCTTTTGATGCCCAGGGCCCCCTGTGGTGGGTCATATCTCTAGTTTAGCTTGTACAAACAAGAGTGCTAACATCAAAGAAGAGGTGGGGAGAGACTACCATGAAGCATTTTCACATCATGTCTGCTTTTTTGCAACACTTCTAATAAGGAAACAAATCACCTACCGGTCATTTTGAGCAATGCTGGAATCAGAATTCAGGGCAGGCCATTTGTATGCTAGTCTTTGTATCTGGGCCACAGAGGCAGTCTTGCTGTGCTGGCATTCTTCAGCAAATGCAAAGCTTCCCGTTCTTCCAGTACTTATTTGTGGGTGAAAGAACAATTCTAATCTGATGTAATGTTGATTATGCCAATAACTGTAATTAAACACTGAAGGGAGCTTGATAACATTGCTACTTATTAGCATTTTTGTGCTACCACTGCCAAGTTCCTTTGGAGAAGAATAAAAAACTATGTGCCATCTAACCTGGTGAGAAGATCTGGCATTCCAGATCCTAAATTGCATTTAAGCAACATTGTTCTGTGCCTTGAAAAGCCAGCGTTATTCATAGGCAGTCAGCTTAGATTTGTTATTGGGCTACTGTAATGCTGACTTCACTGTGTCAACTATGTTATGCTATGTTTAATTAATAGCTGATTTCCAGATCCACTGAAATCAAAGAATGACATCTGAATGACTTTTAAGGTTGCTTTCTCTGTCACAAATGTATCTCAAAAACCTACTCTGCACTCTTGCAGAGAATACAGTTGCTAGTTTTTTCCTTTGTTATTCAAAGATAACCCTTTGTTAGCTAATTAAATAACATTACTTTAAAAAATAACCAAATACTGATTGTTAGGATTTCCAATAGCTTCATGGCATCCATGATCACAGCTTTGTTTGGGATTTATTGCTATTATATACACTGATTGGCAGCAAGGCAACATATAGTCCAAATACAGTTCATCTGGCAGAGTAAGGAGGGTTTTTTTTTCCTTGGATTAGAAACACACAATAAAACAGAAGAGAAAGTCATGTGAATCTTTTTTTAAACAAACCGAGAAAGAAAACACAATCCCAAGCAATGAAAATCAATCATTGTGTGTTCATTGCCTAATGTGGTGATGACCATATCTAAACCCAGTTTAGCAGCCTGAGCTGGACAACTCCAGCTGAGACAAACACAAAACATCTTTCTGTTATGTATATTAAGCAAAACTTTTTAACAATGAAGCTTGAAGAACTATTGTCAAATGGTGGAACACAAAGATCCATTTTGCTAGCATCCCAGTGAAGTGTGCCCAGTGAATTCTGATGTGAACAAAGCAAGGTGTTTTCTGGAGGTCTTTTTGGGAAAAGGTTGATCACAGAATTTTACTTCAATGTTCCCTTCACTGAATGCTTCTTTTCTAGACTCTTCCAAGGAGACCAGTTCTCTTCTACAGGCCCCTTCTTCATGCTGCATCATTGTGATTTTCAGGTTTTTGTGTTTCCTGAATGGAGACAAGTTTTCTTTTATAATGCAAAAGCAAATTGTAGAAAGGAAGTTCTTCTTGAAGTTCTCATTCATAAAGGCATATACAATTGGATTGCAAATGGAATTAGCAAATCCAATTACCTGAACTATTCCAAACATCATCTTAATAGTGACATCATCATATTCTCTTTCAAAATTACCTAGAGAGAGAAATATATATGTTTAAGCATCTCTTCAATGATACATCAATGATTTATCCAATGATTTATTTCATTATTTACCCGAGTCAGTTAAGTAGAAATAAAAATCCAATTATTCCAGAATGAAATTTGTATCAGATTAATTATAAAACATGTTCAAGTAATTCATTAAGTATCTTATTAAAATTATATATGCTATATACATAACTAATGCATAATTTATAGTCAATAACGTAAGCTGATGACTGATGAACTGGCTGATGCCTTACATACAAACCAGCCTAGACCTACTTTTTGTGTGTATGTGCCTTTAAGCCCGTTTTTGACTCCTGGAAACTGCCTGGACAAATCCCTGTAGTTTTCTTGGCAAGATTTTTCCAGAAGTGTTTTGCCATTGCCTGCTTCCCAGGGCTGAGAGAGAGGGACTGGCCCAAGGACACCCAGCTGGCTTTGTGCCTAAGTTGGGACTAGAACCCGGTTTCTAGCCTGGTGCCTTAACCACTGCGCCAAACTTGCTCTCTTACACCTACAACAGAGAAAGTCTAATAACCCACTTAGATTATTTACTTCATTTATACTAAGTACAGAATTGCACTATTAATCTTCCAGTATTTATGACTGATTTATTGCACTAAAAAGGAAGGCATAAAAGTAAAGATCAAGTATTGCCTGGTAAAATTTTCACATTGCTTAGGCATTTGTCAACAGGAATTTAAATACTGGTTTAAATGGATGCTCATTTAGTCAAAGGAAACAATATTAAAATATCATTGCCATATATTTCAATATTCTTTGGCATCCTGAAAGAAGAAACACTATTAATCATGTTTATTCACTATTACTGTCTGGCAGAAATATCTTACATAGCTTTCCACATCTCTGCATGTGTAGATATACACATATTATTTTCTCCTTTGTTAGCAGACAGAGGAAAAAGATGGCTATGGGCTTTAACCATGAGAAAATAGAACACTGAAACAAAAGCATATGGCAAATTGTATTGCTTTCCTATGGATGTACAAGCACCCAATTAAATAAACAGAATACCAAAAATGTATATGCAATCTGAGTCCCTTCACCATTGTTACTACTTTTGAAGACCAGGAGCACAGTGCAACAGATCTGGAACAATTCTGGGATACTCTTTCTTTAAAATAAAAAAACCTGATTGTTGAATAATGTTTATATTGAGAAGTATAAAAGCACTTGGGTGAATCTACAAAACTCACTTCATAATCACAACAATTCATTCAGTTTGAACTCTAGCAAAAGATGTGAGTACTCTTCTAAAATTAATAGTAATTATAAAATCCTTGGTAAGCCTGTATTTCACATTTTCAGGTTACCTACATAAATGTGGACTTCATTGAATTACAAAGGTCATTTATTTGTATGGGCCATTCTCAAATGAGAAAATGCTTTATATTTCAACTTTGCAAGGAAGGAACAAAAGGGAATGTATGTACTCAGTATGATATAAAAAGGAAGTCATATAGAATAATAAATAAAAATTAAATTTATAATGTACTCAGATGTAAATAGCTTTTATGTATAAATAAGAGACTTTTAAAAATAGATTGCAGTAATTAGAGACTGAGAACCAATTTGATGTAGTGGTTAAGACATCAGTCTAAAAACTAGGAGACCGTGAGTTCTTGTCCTGCCTAGGCACAAAGCCAGCTGGGTGACTTTAAGTGACTCACTTTCTCTCAGACCTAGGAAGGACCCAATGGCAAACCACTTCTGCAAAACCTTGCTAAGAAAGCTGCAGGGACTTGTCCAGGCAGTCTCAAGAATCAGACACGATTGAACAGGTTAAAAAAAAAAAAAAAGGGACTTCATATTTATTAATTTGGATTATGCTTGATTCATACATTCCAGTAAACATGAAAAATTGTCTTTATTGAAATCCAGTTGATTTGATATAACATGTTATACAATTTAGTATTCTAGTTTCATTTTAACATATTGTTTTAACATATCATTGTTAAAATGATAAACATATTTATCATTTTAACATATTGTCTTGTTTGCCTTTAAGCAAAAAAACCCCTCTCTTCTACTATTTCATAAGAACAAATTACTCACTGTATTCTATCAGCATGTGCATTACATGGAAAGGTGTCCAGCAAATAGCAAACAAAACCACAACAGTCACCATCATCATGATTGCTCGCTTCTTTTTTCTGAAAAGAGAGATACTTTGTACTATTGACCAAAAGCATTTGGATAGGGAGAGAATACAGATAATTTGTATGAGGGTTGATCTGATTTGTATGAGCTAGATCTCAGTGGGAAAGAAGATACTTTGCATACAGAACATCCCACTTTCATATCTTTAGCTAAATGTTTAATATTTTATTTTTAAATGAATTATATCCCATCCTTCTTATGCACATTCTCTATGCAGGAAGGCAGGCAATATGGCAATCCAAAATTAAAATCATTTAGAGGAATGATTTTACCACCACCACCATTATAAGTAAAAACTTAGACATGGCAGCTTATATTTACTCACCTGTGAACCTAACCCAATTAGAGACACTTCAGTATAGTGGCTAAAAGGTTGGAGTTGAACTTTGGAGATCCAGATAAAGTTCTCACTCAGTCACAGAATTCACCACAAGACTTTAGTTCAATCATTCTCTCTGGTAAGAGTGGGATACAACATGGACAAACACCTACATTTTGATCTCCCAGAAAAAAGATGGAATACAAATGCAATACATCAATAAAAATAGGAAGGCCATCTGCCAGAGTTGGTTTTATCCTAGCCTCCTAAAACACCCATGGCCACTGAGAAAGTCTCGACCAGTCATGCTAGGTCACCACTGGAACAAGGAGAAAGACCTGTCCATCAGATCTTATGGAACATTGGGCTGGGAATGGATGAGGTAGTATCTACAGTATGTTCTTAAAAAGTTGATGCTGAGGATATTGTAGTACAGGATAATTCAATACAGGAAAAACAAACAAAAGAAGCTTCCATTTTGAATGGAAGAATAAGAGAAGTAAGGAAGAGATGGGAGCACATGTTAAGCCATAGTTTGTCTGGCAATGTTTTGGCTGTATGAATCCAGACACTGTTTTGTAAATTATAGTTTGTGAGATTTTAAGGATTAATATACAATTGAAACCAGAGGTTTTTCTTTTGGGATTGATGAACAAACAGTTGGAAAAGAGTCATGGAACTTTATTGTACATGATAACTGCAGTGAGATTATTGTATGCACAAAGACTTGGAGGAATGGTTGGTGAAGATGATGGAATTTGCTGAGATGGCCAAACTGACTTCTTTGATCAGAGAAAAGACAATATCTACATTTATTGCTGACTGGAAATCCCTTACAGACTTTTTGTATGAAACAGAAAAAAATGAATTTATTATTTGTTTTGATGATTAGACAGGATAGATGATAGAAAGAAAAGAGTTATGTTGTAACCATAGAGTAAGAGGTAAATTTATAATTGTACTTATAACTGCTGTAAAGAAGATCAGAAGCTACTTCTTTGTGTCTTTTTTCTTTCTTTTCTATTTTTCTCTTATTTTTTCTTCCTTCCTTGCACTTTTAGGAATTTAACCAATGTGTTATAAGGCTCTATGGTCATTGAAACCTGTGGAAGACTACCTGTCTGGAGATCTGAACTGGAATAGTTGTTCACCTAAATTCATTCATTCATTCATTCATTCATTCATTCATTCATTCATTCATTCATTCATTCTT